TGCTTAGTTCTAGTAGTTTTCTGGTGGCATTTTTAGGCTTCTCTATGTATAGTATCATGTTATCTGCAGTGACAGTTTTACTTCTTTTCCAATTTGTATTCCTTTTATTTCTTTTTCTTCTCTGATTGCTATGGCTAGGACTTCCAGAACTATGTTGAATAAGAGTGGTAAGAGTGGACATTCTTGTCTTGTTCCTGATCTTAGTGGAAATGCTTTCAGACTTTCACCATTGGGAATAATGTTTGCTGTGGGTTTGTCATATATGACATTTATTATGTTGAGGTAGGATCCCTCTATGTCCACTTTCTGGAGAGTTTTTATCATAAATGGGTGTTGAATTTTGTCAAAAGCTTTTTCTGCATCTATTGAGATGATCATATGTTTTTTATTCCTTAATTTGTTAATATGGTGCATCACATTGATTGATTTGTGTATTTTGAAGAATCCTTGCCTCCCTAGGTTAAATCCCACTTGATCATGGTGTATGATCCTTTTAATATGTTGTTGGATTCTACTTGCTAGTATTTTGTTGAGGATTTTGCATCTATATTCATCGGTGATATTGGTCTGTAATTTTCTTTTTTTGTGATATCTGTGTCTGGTTTTGGTGTCAGAGTGATGGTGGCCTTGTAGGACGAATTTGGGAGTGTTCTTCCTTCTTCTGTTGTTTTGGTAGAGTTTGAGAAGGATGGGTGTTAGCTCTTCTCCAAATGTTTGATAGAATTCGCCTGTGAAGCTGTCTGGTCCTGGACTATTGTTTGTTGGAAGATTTTAATTACAGTTTCAATTTCATTACTTGTGATAGGTCTGTTTATATTTTCTAATTCTTCCTGGTTCTGTCTTGGAAAATTGTACCTTTCCAAGAATTTATCCAGTTCTTTGTGGTTGTCCATTTTATTTGCATATAATTGTTTGTAGTAGTCTCTTATAATCCTTTGTATTTCTGTGGTGTCAGTTGTGATTTCCCCTTTTTCATTTCTAATTTTATTGATTTGTGTCCTCTCCCTTTTTTTCTTGATGAGTCTGGCTAAAGGTTTATCAATTTTGTTTATCTTCTCAAAGAACCAACTTTTAGTTTTATTGGTCTTTGCTATTGTTTTCTTCATTTCTATTTCATTTATTTCTGCTCTGATCTTTATGGGTTTTTTCCTTCTACTGACTTTGGGTTTTCTTTGTTCTTTCTCTAGTTGCTTTAGTTGTAAGGTTAGACTGTTTATTTGAGGTTTTTCTTGTTTTTTGAGGTGAGATTTCATTACTATAAACTTCCCTCTTAGAACTGCTTTTGCTATGTCCATAGGTTTGGGGTCATTGTGTTTTCGTTGTCATTTATTTCTGTGTATTTTTTTTACTTCTTCTTTGATTTCTTCAGTGATCTCTTAGTTATTTAGTAGCACACTGTTTAGCTGCCACGTATTTGCTTTTTTTACAGTTTATTTTTCCTGTAATTGATTTCCAATCTCATAGCACTGTAGTTGGAAAAGCTGCTTGATATGATTTCAATTTTTAAAAATTTACCAAAGCTTGATTTGTGACCCAAGATGTGTCTATTATGGAGAGTGTTCCATGTGCACTTGAGAAGAAAGTGTATTCTGCCACTTTTGGGTAGAATGTCCTATAAATGTCAATTAAATCCATCTGGTCTGTTGTGTCATTTAAATCTTCTATTTCCTTATTTCTTTTCTTTCTTTCTTTTTTTTTTTTTTTTGTGGTACGTGAGCCTCTCACAGTTGTGGCCTCTCCTGTTGCAGAGCACAGGCTCTGGATGCACAGGCTCAGTGGCCATGGCTCATGGGCCTAGCTGCTCTGCGGCATGTGGGATCTTCCCAGACCGGGGCACGAACCCATGTCCCCTGCATCGGCAGGCGGACTCTCAACCACTGTGCCACCAGGGAAGCCCATCCTTATTTATTTTCTGTTTGGATGATTTGTCCATTGGTGTAAGTGGGGTGTTAAAGTCCTCTACTATTATTGTGTTACTGTTGATTTCCCCTTTTATGGTTGTTAGCATTTGCCTTATGTATTGAGGTGCTCCTATGTTGGGTGCAAAAATATTTATAATTGTTATGTCTTCTTCTTGGATTGATCCCTCAATCATTATGTAGTGTCCTTCCTTATCTCTTGTAACAGTCTTTATTTCAAAGTCTATTTTATCTGATATGAGTATTGCTACTCCAGCTTTCTTTTGATTTCCATTTGCATGGAATATCTTTTTCCATCCCTTCACTTTCAGTCTGTATGTGTCTCTAGGTCTGAAGTGGGTTGCTTGTAGACAGCATATATATGGGTCTTGTTTTTTATCTGTTCAGCCAGTCTATGTCTTTTTGTTGGGGCATTTAATCCATTTACGTTCAAGGTTATTATGGATATGTATGTTCCTATTACCGTTTTCTTAATTGTTTTGGGTTTGTTTTTGTGGGTATTTTCTTCTCTTGTGTTTCTCGCCTAGATTAAGTTCCTTTAGCATTTTTTGTAAAGCTGGTTTGGTGGTGCTGAATTCTCTTAGCTTTTGCTTTGCCTATAAAGATTTTGATTTCTCCATCGAATCTGAATGAGACCCTTGCTGGGTAGAGTAATATTGGTTGTAGCTTTTTCTCTTTTGTCACTTTAAATATATCCTGCAACTCCCTTCTGGCCTGCAGTTTCTGCTGAAAAGTCAGCGGATAACCTTATGGGGATTCCTTTATATGTTATTTTTTGCTTTTCCCTTGTTGCTTTTAATATTTTTTCTTTGAATTTAATTTTTGTTATTTTGATTAATATGTGCCTTGTTGTGTTTCTCCTAGGGTTTATCCTGTATGGGACTCTCTGCACTTCCTGGAGTTGGGTGACTGTTTCCTTTCCCATGTTAGGGAAGTTTTTCACTATAGTCTCTTTTAATGTTTTCTCAGACCCTTTATTTTCCTCTTCCTCTTCTGGGACCCCTATCATTTGAATGTTGGCACGTTTAATGTTGTCCCAGAGGTCTCTGAGTTTGTCTTCAATTCTTTTCATTCTTTTTTCTCTATTCTGCTCCTAGGCAGTTATTTCCACCATTCTGTCTTCCAGCTCACTTACTTGTTCTTTTGCCTCAGTTATTCTGCTATTGATTCCTTCTAGTGTATTTTTCATTTTAGTTATTGTGTTGTTCATCTCTGTTTGTTCTTTAGTTCTTCTAGATCTTTGTTAAACATTTCTTGTATTTTCTCAATCTGTGCCTCCATTCTATTTCTAAGATTCTGGATCATCTTTACTATCTTTACTCTGAATTCTTTTTCAGGTATGTTGCCTGTTTCCTCTTCATTTATTTGGTCTTTTAGGTTTTTACCTTGCTCCTTCATCTGTGACATAGTTTTTGTCATCTCATTTATTTTTTGATGGGTGGGATTATATTCCTGTCATACTGGTTGTTTGGCCTGAGGCTTCCAGCAGTAGAGTTTGTAGGCTGCTGGGTAGAGCTGGACCTCCTGGAGACCAGGAGAACCTGCTGGGATGAGGACCTCCAGGAGACCTCACTCCTATGAATATTCCCTGGGATCTGAGGTTCTCTGTTAGTCCAGTGGTTCGGATTCGGATTTCCCACCACAGGAGCTCAGGCCGGACCTCCAGCTCGTGAACCAAGATCCTGCAAGCTGTGCGGGGCAGCAAAAAAAGGAAAAAAAGAAAACAGGAGCAGAAGAATAACAAAGAGTCAAAAATAAAATAAGATTAGAAAACTAACAGATATGTTAGAAAGAATAAAAAAGTAAAAATATAGGTGAAACAACAGCTGGAAAGTAAAATGGAAGTATAATAATAAAAAAGAGGAGGGAAAAAAAAAGCTGGAAAAGTCCCTGGCTGTGGGGGGCGGGGCTCAGGCAGGGGCAGGGTTTAGGTGGTGGGAAGGGGCCTATGCTTAGGACCCACAGGGCTGGAAAAAGCCCTGACGGGTGGTCGGGGGGCTGGGGGCTGGGACTTAGGCACAGTGCAGCAGGAGGGGCCCAGGAGTGCCTCTAGCCTTGAATGGCAGAGGACGAGATCCAGGACCCCAGCAGGCTAGGCACGTTCCCCCCCATCCTCTGATCCTGAAGGGCCCCTCCCCGTTGGCCTCTCTTCTTCTTCCCTTCCCTCCCTCCCTCCTATGCCCCTAGGACTCACAAGGCCAGAGGAGGCCCTGGAAGGCAGGGGACTAGACCCGGAAACCCAACAGGCTTCCTGGGCCGAGTCAGTGGGGGAAACACCCGTGGTGCTTCCCCTGATTCCCTGGTCCTGGAGTGCCCCTCCTGCCCACCTCTCCTCTTCTTCCTCCCTAACCCCCCTGCTGCGCCCCTGGGATGGACGTGGCCTGGAGGGGGCCTCAGAGGGCAGAGGACCTGGCCCAGGCCCCAGCAGGTTTCCCGGGCCTGATTGGACAGGTGAAATGCTAGGTGCACCCCGTCCCCCATCCTCTGAGCCCCTGAAGGTCCCTCCAGGTGTGGGAATCCCTCCCCTCTCCCAGCCACCCCTCAGGGGCACCTGTCCTGCCCAGCCTCCACTTGTCCTCCCGCCTCGCTCCCTTCCACGTCCTACCAGGTCGCTTGGGGGTTACTCCTATCTCCTTGGGCATTGAGGTCCCCCACCAGCGTCTGGCAGGTGCCCTAGTTGTGGGGAGATGTGAAGTCTGCATTCTCCCCCACCACCATCTTGACTTCAGGAACCAAGTTGCTTAATTCTCTTGCGCCTCAGTTTCTCACTTGTCACACAGAATAATAATTGGCTAATAAAACAAGGTTGTGTTTAGAATTAAGTGAGATAATACTTGTATGTGGAGTACTTAGTACAATGATTGGCTCACAGTAAGCTGCATAACAGTGTTTTATTGTTTCATATGATTGATTATATTACAATGTTCAATTCCATTCTGCTATAGTCCTTTGGTACCTGTTCTTGCATCTAATGATCCGTCTGGAGCGTTATGAGTATTCGGCTCTGACAGATACTGACTGGTTTGATGCTGACAGTGACATCCTAACTTAGTTCTCTCTTGGCCATTTTTTTCTGTACAGGTTCTGCAGCTGGGCTCAGACATCCTTCCCCAATACAAGCAAGAGGCACCAAAGACTCCCCCTCACATCATCTTACATTATTGTGTCTTCAAGACCACATGGGATTGGATCATCTTGATCTTAACCTTCTATACAGCCATCCTGGTCCCTTATAATGTCTCCTTTAAAACCAGGCAGAACAACGTGGCCTGGCTGGTTGTGGATAGCATCGTGGATGTTATCTTTTTGGTGGACATTGTGCTGAATTTTCATACCACTTTTGTTGGACCAGCTGGGGAGGTGATTTCCGACCCCAAGCTCATCCGCATGAACTATCTGAAGACGTGGTTTGTGATTGACCTTCTGTCCTGTTTGCCATACGATGTCATCAACGCTTTTGAGAACGTGGACGAGGTTAGTGCCTTTATGGGTGATCCAGGGAAGATTGGTTTTGCTGATCAGATTCCACCACTCCTGGAGGGGAGAGAGAGTCAGGTACATCCCTCAAATCTCAGACCTTGTTGTCATGTCTTTAAATTAATTGGTGGGTGGTCAACAGAAGAGTAATTAAATGGGTGGGAACTAGCATGACTGATGTCTGGAACATAGGGAGCATGATGCTTGATCGATATCCTTGCCTGGTGTTTTTGTCCTTTGGAGGTTTGGAGGCCCTGCATGTCAGTGGATGGATGTGGAGGAGACCAGAGGCTTCCTTCTTATTCCCTGTGGAGTGCAAGCCACTGGCTTGGGTGGTGGGGCTGCAGAAGCAGGCATGCATTGCCACTGCACTGATGAATCTTTCACTTGATATACAATTGCTGAATGCCTACCTACTGATTACTCTCATTATGGGGACTTTTCTATTATCTGCTGCTGACCTTTGACTGTTTGAAAGCTAATTAACTCTTGGCAACAGGGATGCTACTCCAAGTTTGCTTGTGTTTTTCTTCTTTTTCTTTCTTTCTTTCTTTTTTTTTTTTTTTGGTAAATGTTGGGAAAGAATGAGTTGTTTCTTTGCTGAAATGAGTTTTGGAGGTGACCAATGGCATTCAATTGTCCATGCTCTCCATTGCCTAAATTTGCTGAGGTAGTCAGTCTGTGGTTAAGCCTGGCTCTTGTGGCTAAGAGGAGTACTGCTACTGGATTACCCTGCTGTGGGTTGTTAGTCCTACAGGCCATGGAAGGAATTAAAAGAAGATAAATGCCCTGTAAATGTGCTGGAATCAAGACATGCTTAAACAGTCACTGAATGGGTGCCTAGGACATGTTGCAGCAGGAAGGGGCCGCTGGGCTGGTTAAAGTGATTTTCTCCTTTGAAAAAGCAAGGATGTAACGTCATGGCAAAGGAAAATGTCAGGTTCTTAATCTAGTTTAAGTGTTCTATGGAAATTGTTCTTCCCTTTTCCTACTCTTCAGCTGACACTTTAGATGGCAGTACACCTGGTAAGTCTTCAGCCTCAGATAGCAGCGGCCCTCATTGCCTCAGATTACAGAGGGTCCCAGAGGTCTCCGTCCAGCTGGACTACTTACTGGGTGGGTCATCAGGAAGCCATCGGGAAGCTGAGTTGAGGCAAGATACACTCTCAGGGCTAAATGGCTAGTGGGACTCAGCCTTGAGATAGTTGGAGGGAACAGCCAGCTTCCTGCCAGGATAACAAGACCTGCCAGTGACTAGATGTCTTGCTGGTGGCATAATGATGCCTCTCTGCCTTCACATCAGTACCAGCAGTGGGCAAGGACTCCAGCCCCTTCCTCTGTGAGGACCCAACTGCCTACTACTTTTCTCTCCAGTGAAGAGGAGCTGATGTTCAGATGCTCCAGACTCAGAACAACCCCTGCTTTCATCTGTGTGGTGTGTTTTAATAGACTTTAAAATCCCAAGGAATAATTCTCTGAGTGGCTTGTGTGGATTTTTTAGGGAGATTAAATGAGTCGAGACTGATCATTTACAAGAGAAAAATCGTCCCTAAAGTGAATGTTGGGATTCTTAAATGTGAATTTTAGTACATGTTGGGAATGATATTTTTCACTGTGAGCACATTTCTAGAAATTTTTATGTTAGTTAGTGAGGAAAATATGATAATTTTGGCTTAGATAATTCAACTGATGATTTCAACCTAAAAGAGCTTCTTGTACACATATGGGAAATGAAATTTAACTTTAAGAAAACTGATTGAGTTTTTAAAATAAACCGTTTGCTATTTATAGCAATGGCATTAAAATTTTGCAGATAAATAGAACAGTTCTTCGGCTTCCACAGTTTCTTATTAAACACTGGCAGAGCTGTAAACACATATGTGAATGTGTCAAGATTACCTTGTAGGTTAGCGGAGCAGAGAGCTTCTTCCCAGACTCTGTGTATGTTGGGCTGGAATTCCTTTGCCATTAACTGTGAATACCCTGACGTGGTTTCTGATTTCCAGATTCATGAAATAGATTGTAGGTAGGAAAATCATAATTTCTCTGTAGCTTTCTAGTTGGCAAAGGGTTTAGCATCAAAGCTCCTACTACCATTTCTTGATGATAAATAATAATATGAATATTAAGGGATTCTAGCTATGATTTGCTTCTGTAAAGTCTTGTTTTTATATTTAGTAGCTCCTTTTAAAGCTTTGGCTCACACCTGAAATAATGCCTTTCCATGACAACTGTGGTGGAGTTGGGGAAACACGAGGAAACTGAAGATTTGGCTTCTGGTCCTCTTGTTCTCACCTCTTAAGACAGCTGGGAACCTTGTGCATGTCATTTAGCCTTTCTGGGTTACAGTTTTCCTAGCTACATCTTAGGGACGATACTACCTTACCTGCCTGAAGGCGTGGCATTTGGGTGGCGGATTTTGAGTTCCCTGCCAGCTGCAAAATCTGGTGAGTTCTAAAATCTCTTTTGTGTTAGTCTCACCTCCAGACTGACTATAAAAATGAGAGGCCCAGCCCCCTGACCTCCTACCTTTTGTGGGAGTTGGAGGAAAGTGGGGTAGGATGGGGACACTTAGCATGTTATGATGAGTAGACCTATTGGAGATCAGAGCCCAGTTGAAGTACCATGTGGTTTAACCCTCTTAACTCACAAATAACCCAGGGGATATGACTCACTCAAGATGGTGTAGCAAATCATACGGTCACAGTAATGAGTCACCTTCTGACTCTTCTCTGTTCTAATAGTGACAGATTTGATAAAATAGGGACAAAACACTGAAGGATACCGTTGAGTCAAAACTGACCAAGAAACTCCTGATGTGTGTGGCTCACCTATTAGCTTGTTTGTCATGATTGGGAGGTTGGGTATTAGGTATGGGGAGGTGGGCAGCTGCATTTCCCCCAAGGTAGCTGGGTTGGTGATGAGATGGGCAGGTTAAGATACTCACCAAGGGACAGACCCAGCACCATTTTCCAGGTACAGGCCTTTTTGTTAAAAGGCACCGTTAAATCAGTGGGCATGAAGGGCTGGTGGGGCTAAGAGGAGGTTGGGGAGCCTGTGAAGGGCACCTGTCTGTTGTCTACATTCACCGTATGCTGTCTTCTTATCCACACTCTGCTGTGAGGTTGCTCATCTAATATTGCAGCTCCCTCGGCTCTAGGCCCTTCCTCTAAGAGAGTGTGGGGAGAAATAGGAAGTTATTGATTCATTTCTCATAAAAATTACATGGAGCTGCACTCTCTCTGGTGTCTTCCTAATTACGCCAATGGAATTGTGTCTCAGTGGAGACCACCAGGGAAGAGGGGAATGAGCAGCGGGGGCTTTGCCATCTGTGTGTGGGGGGGTTTAGGGTGTGGGCATGGGTGTTGGGGTGGAGGCTCTTAGAGTGAAAGGATTGGACCCTCCCAAGCCTTGGGTCAAGAAATTAGGTTAGATTGCGAAAGCCAACAATTGTGAACTCAGCCTTGTGGATGTAGCCCATCTCCATCATTTAAGCCACACAGATGATCCCTTTTGGCCAGCTTGGTTCACTTATGTAGATGGCCTACATTTTCGTCATTCTCCAGTCTGTTGGTAATCATCTGTTTTGGAGGCAGTTCGTGAAAATGTTTGCATATTAGTTAAGCTGGTAAGAGGACAAAAGGTCTGAAAATGGAGTGAACGAAAGCTAGGAAGGGGTATGCCAAAGCAAAAGTCAAATGAGTCTCTTTCAAGCACTTAGCGGATTATTGGCCTGGTATGCTTCATGCATTAAGTATGGAATTATTAGTCACAAAACATATTCCCTCTCCTAAGGAGACCTTACTGTTTATGGCCACTGGAATATGGAAGTGCAAGGAGGAGAATGGAGCCAACTGTGCCACCTCCCAGGTCACAATTCTGGTGACTTGGGGCCAAGAGCTTCCTTCTTTCCCTGCCTGTGTAACCTCAGACAGCAACACCACTGGCTAGTGGTGGTCACAGCTGACACTTGCCAAGAGCACACAGAAGATGATCAGACAGAGCAGAACAGGACTAGATGTGCTGATGGAAAGATCAGCAGCTTCCCTTTATCTAGTGCATCTAACTTTCCAAAATATTTTCACACAGATTATCTTTTTTATTATTGAAATGTGGTTGATGTACAATATCATGTTAGTTTCAGGTATATTCCATAGTGACTTGACATTTGCAAACATTACAGAACGTTCACCGTGCTAAGTCTAGTAACCATCTGTCCCCATACATATTCTTTGTTGCACAGATTATCTCTGTTTTAGATCTGTGGTGGTAAAAAAAACTGCACTGAACTGGGAGGAAGGCTGTTTGTCAGCTAGGTGTGACCGCCACCCAGCTGTGCAAACTTACGGAAGTCATTTCATCTCCTTGGACTTTGCTTACCTCACCTGTAGGATGGTCCATTTCAGCTGTAACCTTCAGTGGCTCTAGGGCAGGTATTACCCCTGCTTTGCAGATGAGGGGAAAGGACCAGGTTGTCCAGGGAGTTGAAACTGGACTCTGGTCTCCTGACTGCTAGATCTGTGCTTTACCCTGCCAATCATGCTGCCTCAACAGAAATTTGGAGACAGAGTGAGCCAAGCTGTGTGTTTCATTCCTCAAGTCCCTCTCTCTGAATCCTTCCCTGGCCTGGCCCCTTCCGCACAGCGCCTCCCTGCCGCCACCGACCTCCGCAGCTGAGGGGTGAGAGGTTTGGGTGGTCAGCCTGGGTGACCCTAAGCTGAGGTCGCTGGTGCGTGTGTGTAGGGCCGGACAGTGAGCATGGGGTCGGAAGTGACTCCACAGGCTGGTTGCCCGCCCTGCTTCTCTCTCCTTGGCAGATGGGCACCCCTTTGGGTTCTTCTAAGATCACTATTACCTATGATTTCCTCATCACTGATGCTGAAAGCAAATTGGACCCATGTACCTTGCTCATCTTATTGATTTGTAGTTTTCAGGCCTTACCTGTGGTTTCTATTTAGGTAGATGGATACTGTTTGAGTTCTCACACAGGTGACGCCTCTGCTGTCCAGCTGAAAGTCATGAGATGACCAGGACTTTTCTTTCCTGGACTTCCAGCAATACAGGCAGTCCCTGTGTCT